ATTGTAGTCTTGCCGCCCGCGCGCTCATTGGGTTAATCGTAATGATAGAACAATATCATATAACAAAATACTATCAAAAGAAAATACAAATACTCATTATCAAACGTTTCTTATACTCCTTTTCCAATTTCATACAATATTTTACAATTAACCATATTAACAGTTAATCAGTTACCTCCGCGATTACTATACAAAATAATGTAAATCTAACAGTACATACCTTATTCACATCATATTCTTAAAGAAAAAAAAAATCATGTTCGTATGATCCACGAGATTAGCCTCGCTTCAAATCAAAACACGGAACCACACAGTCCATTGCGCGAAACACTTTAATATGCTACGAAGCACCCAAAATACGAATCCACAAGAAATATATATACGGTAAGTAAAAAATGTGATCTGAAAACACTAATAATACAAACACACATATACACGTATATATTTATATAACTGTACACACACACACACACACACACACACACACACACACACACACACACACACACACACACACACACACACACACACACACACACACACATACGCATATATATGCATATATATATATATATATATATATATATATATATATATATATATATATATATATATATATGTATATATATATATATATATATATATATATATATATGATTTTGTATGTATATAGTATATTTCTCCGTCACCCGGTACAAATAGCTTCATTTCTGGTTAAAAATTAAACGCCTTTGCAGCTATTTTCAGATAACTTTGTATATACGTATTATGTAATTTTACTTACAGTAGTTATGTTAACGAGCGTAAACACAATGTTAATCCCTGTATTATATATATATATATATATATATATATATATATATATATATATATATATATATATAATGATTATCTGTCTGTGTATTTGTCAATATTTATATATCTATATTTTTATATTACTATATTTTATGTATGTATGAATTTGTGTTTTTATGTGCATGTATCGAAACACGCACGCACACGCACACGCACTCTCTCTCTCTCTCTCTCTCTACATATATATATATATAGATATATATATATATATAGATATATATATATATAATATATATATATATATCTATATATATATATATATAGATATATATATATATATATCTATATATATATATATGATTTTGTATGTATATAGTATATTTCTCCGTCACCCGGTACAAATAGCTTCATTTCTGGTTAAAAATTAAACGCCTTTGCAGCTATTTTCAGATAACTTTGTATATACGTATTATGTAATTTTACTTACAGTAGTTATGTTAACGAGCGTAAACACAATGTTAATCCCTGTATTATATATATATATATAGATATATATATATATATAGATATATATATATATAGATATATATATATATATAGATATATATATATATAGATATATATATATATAATATATATATATATAGATATATATATATATAGATATATATATATATAGATATATATATATATAGATATATATATATATATATATATGATTTTGTATGTATATAGTATATTTCTCCGTCACCCGGTACAAATAGCTTCATTTCTGGTTAAAAATTAAACGCCTTTGCAGCTATTTTCAGATAACTTTGTATATACGTATTATGTAATTTTACTTACAGTAGTTATGTTAACGAGCGTAAACACAATGTTAATCCCTGTATTATATATATATATATGATTTTGTATGTATATAGTATATTTCTCCGTCACCCGGTACAAATAGCTTCATTTCTGGTTAAAAATTAAACGCCTTTGCAGCTATTTTCAGATAACTTTGTATATACGTATTATGTAATTTTACTTACAGTAGTTATGTTAACGAGCGTAAACACAATGTTAATCCCTGTATTATATATATATATATGATTTTGTATGTATATAGTATATTTCTCCGTCACCCGGTACAAATAGCTTCATTTCTGGTTAAAAATTAAACGCCTTTGCAGCTATTTTCAGATAACTTTGTATATACGTATTATGTAATTTTACTTACAGTAGTTATGTTAACGAGCGTAAACACAATGTTAATCCCTGTATTATATATATATATATCTATATATATATATATATGATTTTGTATGTATATAGTATATTTCTCCGTCACCCGGTACAAATAGCTTCATTTCTGGTTAAAAATTAAACGCCTTTGCAGCTATTTTCAGATAACTTTGTATATACGTATTATGTAATTTTACTTACAGTAGTTATGTTAACGAGCGTAAACACAATGTTAATCCCTGTATTATATATATATATATAATATATATATATATATATAATATATATATATATATCTATATATATATATATAGATATATATATATATATATGATTTTGTATGTATATAGTATATTTCTCCGTCACCCGGTACAAATAGCTTCATTTCTGGTTAAAAATTAAACGCCTTTGCAGCTATTTTCAGATAACTTTGTATATACGTATTATGTAATTTTACTTACAGTAGTTATGTTAACGA